CAGCTTAGCTGGAGTCCCACACAACCCAGAGCGACAGACCACCAGCTCTGGGAGTGCATAAAAGAGCATTTCCCAAACCTCACCGAAAAAAAAAACCATGAGAGAACGCACTTCATAAGCGTTTATGCACCAGACATAAGTAAGGAGAGATATTCTATGAATAACAGTATTGGCGATCATTCTGGCTATCTGTATTTTGGAGACCGCTGCGCGAAATAAGGATCAGGTACTTCTTCTATACCATTCACTCAAGTTTTTAAGCCACGATGTCCGACTTCGTCCCGGTGCTCGTCGCCCTTCAATTTTCCCTGGATTATTAGTTAAATGAAGCGGTATTTCTCGCCGCTCATAACATGTCCGAACCATTCGAGTTTTCGCGGCTTCACTATGTTTAAGATCGTTGTATTTAGACGTAACAAGACTGTAATCGGCATTCCGTCCTCTCAGTCTCAATCTTTTTGCAATGTCGATCTAACAGTGTCCATCCCTCCCAGGCGTAGTCTTAAACTATCCTTAAACAATCCATATACGCAACATCAGTAATGGTAGTTAAATTAGATGAAGACCTGAAAACGGAACAAATAAAAGTAAAAAAAAAGAGTAAGACAAGGCGATACCATCTCACCCAAATTATTTACGCTAGCGTTAGAAGACGTGTTCAAGGGGCTAAACTGGGAGGATAATGGAGTTAGAATTGACGGCGAATATCTCAACCACTTGCGTTTTGCGGACGACGTGGTTCTAATAAGCGAAGACCCATTGGAACTGAAGAATATGATCAAACAGCTAAACCATGCCTCTAAAAAAATAGGACTCGAGGTCAACATCACAAAAACAAAATTCATTAGCACGCAAAACATTCAACTTTCAATCGGAGGGAATGAGATCGAAAATATAGACGAGTATATATACCTGGGGCATAAACTCAAAATTGATAAAGAAAATTAAAAAACAGAAATACTGCGAAGAATAGGTCAAAGTAGGGCTGCATACAAAAAACTAGGATTTATACTCAGAAACAGAGATATCCCTATGACCCTGAAAAGGAAAATGTATGATAGCTGCATACTCCCAGTAAACACTTACGGGCTGGAAACAATGAGCCTCACAAAAAAACAGCGTACATCGCCTGCAATGCACGCAGCGAGCTATGGAAAGACAAATGCTGGGATATGGGGAACGAAAAGATTAGAAGTAGAACCAGAATAACGAGTATAACCGAGAGAATAGCCAGATTAAAGTGGTAGTGGGCAGGACACGTTACCAGGATGGATAACAATAGATGGCATCTAGAGTACTGAAATTGAGACCATGGGAAAGTAAACGAACGTTGGGTAGACCAATGAAGAGACGGGCTGACGATATTAAAGTCGCAGAGGGACGACACTGGACACAGAAAACACAGGATAGAGATATCTGGAAGAAATTTGAAGAGATCTATCTCCAGCAGTGGAGGAACTACGGTTTATGAAGAAGAAGAAGAAGAAGAAGTCTTAAACTTCAGTTGTCTACACGTGAGAAGTTGTTTTGAAAATTTTGATATATGCACTTCTGGCTTTTTCAATGCGGATCCGTATTTCCTATCCAATGTCCCAATCAGTGTTTACGTAACATCGGAGGTATTTATAGTGACCAATTATTTCTATTATTTCTTGGCCAACTGACAATTGTACATTTCCAATAGTGCAACTGCAACTATGCACCCCATTATTATCTCCCTTGTAGCCTGACATGTGGTATACATGAACAAAAATATTATTGCTTATATAGAATAAACCATCCGCAACATAACAACGCTTTGTAGTTGATCTACTTTGATTTATCGCAGGCCTGGGTACCACTGTGTTGTGTGGCGCTTTTGTGTTGATGCTGCTCTGTGCGCCAATGCATTATAAAGATCGATTCATATTTACCTGCCCGTGGCGTCCACAACACGTAACCGGGCAGACATGAAACAGACAAGTGTATTCATATCATACGACAACAAGTTCACCGACTTTCTTGACAGGCAACCGTGCCCGCATAAATAATTGAAAATTTCTCGTCTGAGACACTACCAGTGATGGCTATTTTAATCGGAGAAAAAAGAGGAAATTGGGCCAAGTGTAAATAAAACTGTTTATCGCACGAATACAAAACGAAAAACGGAGACAGTTTTATACTTTAAACAAGGAACTTAAAAACGATACTTTATAATACTTCATAATGTTTAGAAAAGAGGTTTAGGAATCAATTGGTTGATTTTCTCAACCTCAATAACGGCTATCACCGCTAATATGTCTTTACTTAGGAAAAATAGTTATTTTGCGATTTATTTATACAATATCTTGCAAGGCTGCCTTTGACGGCGTTCCAGCGCCGACTTTTAAAACGACTTCACGAGCTAACTAAACAGCAAGCAGTGCCGGATATTTATCGGTAAATTAATAATATCACCGCAAGAGCGGACGGCGCCCAAGCCCTCATTCTATCAGAGAATCGTCGGCGATTCCATCTAACGGAAAATAGATTTGCATCAAAAACCGGCCGCTCTTGCGTCGACGACGGCACGACGCATCGACTAAACATACCGGCCTCAGCATCGGATCGCCCAGCTCGGTCGCCGGTGTGCACGTACCCTTAGTATGAATACGTTGGTAGCAAATGCACAGAATAATATTTCTTGTCTGTACAGACGTCTTTGAGAGTGGACCGTGTGCGTACGATGTTTCTACTAAACCAACCCAATTAATTTTTGCTGGTTCATTCCTTTATATGGAAAGGTTCAGGTGATAAATTACCCGTTAAATAAATGCAGCATCCATTCATACAAGCCGTGCTAACCCCACGGACTTACGCAGACACGGTCCGTAACCGGCAAAATATAATCGACAGCAATTCTGTCCGGTGCAGAATGTCAGGTGTCTGTACAGGCCCGCACGGCTAAGTTCACTAAGTATGATAACGTTGGTAGCAAATGCACACAACAATATTGTTGTACCTGTCCGGTTACGTGTTAAGTACGCCACGTGCTGGCAATATGAATCGAGCTTTATGAGTTGACTGCATCATAAATTGCGCTGACGCGTTGTATTGACGCGAAAAGACGTATCGGCATCAATGCGCCAACACCTGAAAATTCACTCTGTTACCCAGGCTTAATCTGTAGGCATCACAGTTTAAGATTAGTTCAAAGTTACCAGGCAAACAATCTGAATGTTTCAGCGTCATCCGTATATAATATGTTCAATTACCGAGTTAGGAACATATATTTCGCGCAGCAGCTAGTAGGTGACAGATAACAGCCAATAAAACACTTGCAGTTCTATTTAAGTAACAACGATCACATTTAATACGTCATAAATTAACAATGGCACGTAAGAAAATTTAAGCCCACCAAATATGCCCAACAATACAAATAACCAGTTTTTCAATAACAAGTGTAATTTAAAATCAATATTAAATACTAATTTTCTAACATTGTAAATTAATTATGGTCGTCCTACTACAATTAACAATTAACTGGCTAATACGATAAAAAGATTCTCGTTAAAATGCATTGAATATGAACTGCTTAGAATGACTTTTACTCTTATGCGACGCCAAAAAATCACACCGAGCGTCCAACTATCGCTAAATTGAAAAGCAAGTAAAAACTCAACCAAATTTCTCCAATAACCAGGCATCTCTCTGGCTAAAGTTGGCACTAGTCCTCGAAAAAAACCCTTAATAATACGATAATACGATAAAGATTCTCGTTAAAATGCATTGAATATGAACTGCTTAGAATGACTTTTACTCTTATGCAACGCCAAATAATCACACCGAGCGTCCAACTATCGCTAAATTGAAAAGCAAGTAAAAACTCAACCAAATTTAAGAAATAACATTAAAAAACTTCTTTGAATATTCTACAGTGGCAAATAATGCGGCAGTTGCAGGAATCGTTCTAACTAAAGTTGGTGTTAGCCCCTGATATAAAGCTAATATTCCTTCATTTTTAGCAATCTTTGATATTGTCGTGATAACATTATCATTAATATTATTTACTTGAATCCTGGACTTTGCGACATCAAGAGGAAATGTTGTCGTCCAAAATACTCCGCCGCCTACTGCGCCAGCTATCATGGTCTTTAGGAGTCCCAGATCTTCTTTCTTTTGATTTGGTGCTCTTAATAACTCCCTTGATGCTGAAGAATTTGAAAAATTAACAAATTGAAATTTACCTGTTACTGTTAGTATCACCAAAATTTAGTTAGTATCGCATAAAATATCAACGGGATATTATTTTTACAATTGCAGATCAGAGTGGGTGTGATCAATTGAACGTTTGCCCAATTTAAGTTCATTTTTTCGGGATATTAACTATCATCAAAGTGGTAGTAGCAGTCTTCATAAGATTGTCTTGTATTACATAGCTTTGAGTTTGAAATTGGCCCGTTGAGTTATATTTAAGACGATTAATTGATATTCAATAACTAAAAACTAGATAAGTGATCTGAAAACTAGCGATGGGAACTGTCGAATTATTCGATAGTTGTAATTCGTTCGAATTATTCGACAGCAATGTTGTATTCATTGATGGAAACTACAGAATTATTCGATAGTTGTAATTCGTTTATTAAAATTTTAAATAATTTAATTTTTCACTTCTTAAACAAATATATTCAATATTAATTTATTAAAATTGATTTTTCGGTTAAAAATTCAACATATTTTTTTTGGAAAAAGTGTATAGTAAATTGTATTCATTTTTATCATTAACTATCTTTGTGTCAAAATGGACTTTCACCACTTTCAAAGAAAACGGCTCATATCGTATCCAAGGTTTTCAAAACCTTTCTTTGGTGGTCCCGTGGTGTGTATTAAACATCCTGACAATGGATTGCATAATTTCACGCTGATGAGATTTATATGTATAAATCGCATCAGCGTGTGTAACATATGTTACTAGATAATAGACCGAACCTGTCGACATGTGACTTTGCCTGGAGAGTGACCTTACGTCTTACAGAAATTCGTAAAACAACTCTTTCGAGCAGGCAAATTGCTCAACAGCAGCGCCAAACAAACAAGAACAAGAAGAATAACTCATAAATTATAAATTGACCTGCCTAAAATAAAGCAACCCATTCAGACTCGACCAGAAACAGATAAATTGTGTCCAACAGTTCTACACACCATACGATTTCCAGGGAATTGGATTTCAATCACTAAAATTCTATTTATATACGGAATCATGTTATATTGGCATCGTAATAATAAACAGCTTAGGGTGAAACAGTACACGATGCATCTCGAATTTGAAAGATGCATTTGAAGTCGCTGCTTTACTTTTTTATGAATAACGTACAGTACTAAATTAGTTCATACTAACTAGAAACCTGTATTTTCAAAAGAATATAAGTTTGTAATTTATAACTCTCCTACACTGCACTAGATACCGCGCACTATTCAATGAATTAATTCATTCGAATGTTTTTATTCGATAGTTGCAATCATTCATTTAGTAATTATTCGATAGTCGAAATCATTCGATAGTGCCCATCACTACTGAAAACCATGCTGCTTTCTTTGGACTTTATCGCACTTCGTAAGCGGTTGTTTTTTTTTCAAGCATGGGCAATCTTGTGATTTTGTTTATTAATTCGTAAAACCTTACTTGACTTTCCTTCGATAAATAAAACCAAAAAACATGATATTGCTGCTTTACACGATAAGAAATATCAAATTGTGTCAAGAATATAATACATTTAGTACGTCAGGTGATTACGAAATGTTTTATTTGTTTTTAGGAAAAATCATATTGAATGACTCAACCTTCATTTGTTCAAATGTTTAATCATTTTGGACACAATAAAACTAAGTAGATTGTATTGAAGTAATAGTACATACAAATCATGGACTAGGAAAGAAAGAAATTAAAAATCGTATTGACTGACATGATGAAGTCTATTCTCTTCTACGGAAGTGAATTGTGGACAGTGAATGTGGAAATGGAACGAAAAATCAATACCTCAGAAATCTGCTTTTGCGGTGCAGTGAAGGTATATCTCAATTAAAAAGAATCGGAAATGAGCACATAATACAAATATCAGATGCCGAAGAAACAATTCTGGAAAGGATAGAACGGAGAGGATTAAGATGGTTTGGACATATGATGAGGAACAAAGGTTACCCCTAAAAATGTTTAAATGGAACCCAACAGGACAGAGGAAGAGAGAAATACCCAGAAGATCATGGAATGAGAGCATGAGAGAAGCGCGTGGATTAGATCATGAAGACGCCACAAATCATAAGATAAAGCATTTGAGCTAACAAAAGAAAAGTGCTAAGAACCGATAAAACAGTCCATCACAAACAGGAAATGCTGCAGTTTAACCTCTTTTTACTATTTAGACGGATAAAAAACCTATTCAGGGCAATAAGGGTAAAAATCTATTTCATTAATTAAAGGCGGTGTATTGTATTGAATTTGAATTGATTGCCGGTGAAATTAAATTGATTATAGGTGAAATGCAAAAAAAAATTCACCCCTTTACAACTTAAAAAATATGTTAATATCAACTGAAGCACACATAATTTTGTCATTTCAACCAATTTGCTTAATATTTTTGTTTCAACAGCTTAGTTTTAATCCTTGTATGTATATGTGTTTACTTGCCTTCATATCCTCCAAAGAAAAAGAAATAACCAGGCATCTCTCTGGCTAAAGTTGGCACTAGTCCTCGAAAAAGCCCCTTAACTCCTTCAGTTCTGCAAATCTGCTGAGTTAATGCAACAGGACCAATATATTTTACTTTAGTTACACCACTCGCAGTAGATTGCTTAACTTCATGCATAGCTTGTAACTTACATTTTATCAACTCAGTGGGAGTGATTGCTATTGAAGAAAAAAATGATGCTAAAAAACCAGCACATGCATTGGAGAATGCACTAAGTTCCTCTGAACTTTTGACACCTAAAAGTACAAAGTAATTATGCAGGGAACTATAAGAACATAGAAAACAATGAATAATATAATATTTCTATAATAAATCTAAATAAATTTGAAGATAACACCAAGAAGAAGATCTGCGGTCAGTTCGACTATGAGGTCAGGATCAAGGTGATTTCAATGTCAAATTGAGAAAGAGCCATTTAGGTGGAAACTACCTATCTGTACTACATCTACATCTACATATCTGTACGTTTTGTTCAAAAGAGACGAAATGGACTGATTGATTCAGTTCAGCTCCTTTGGTTATCGAGATATTTGTAGTTTTTTGAAAACCATATTTTCCCGATTTTCTCGAAAACTGTGAAAGTTGGCAAAAATATCGTTGGATAATGCTCGATGAGCTTATATAATCACTTTTTCAATACGAAGCTTTGTTTTCGATAAAAAAATTAAATGTAAAATTTCGAAAAAATCGCCAACCCAATCTATAACCATAATTTTGGGATAAACTTTTTTTCATGCCATTCCTGGACAGGTTGTTAGATATGAAAATGTTACATGACAACTCGACTTTCATTGGTTGGAAAAAAAATCCTATGAGAGCCACAGGGGGAAGACGAAAGACGAAAAATATTGTACAGGCTCTCGAGGGAAAATATTTTTTCCGCCTAAAAGGATCTTTCGCAATTATACCTTGGACCTTTATCCTGATCTGATAGAGTCAAATTGACTCTATGATCAAACTGACTGGTCAAAATACTACAGGATATGTGTCTCACCACCAGATGAAAAAACATTTTTTGGTTGTGTGGCTGTATAATCAATGTCGATAGTATTTTTTATACCCGTATTTGAGAATTGATCAAATGTTTGATTATAAAGTTAAACAATGAAAAGAACCGAATACACTTAAATTCAATAAGCAAATAAACGCGATGCGACAATGCTGCAGTTCTATGTAAAATAAATAATAAATACATAATTTTCAAGAAAAACATGAAAAAAATTAAGACATGACCCATCAAAGGCGTTTTTGCTTCACCAGTCAATTTTCCAGGCAGCTACATCAAGTCTACGTTAGCTGCAATTATGTTAAACCGATAGCGATCAGTAGAAACTTTGCAAGTTCCTTTACGACAGGATGAGTAAATTGATCGCTCCGCAAGTGTTGCCTTGTCTCCATAGACTTCGCATAGACTTTTGCTTTATGTTAATAAAAATCGTTGAAATATCAAAACTATTTACCATTACGTATTTTAACCATGTTTATGGATGCTAAGAGAGATAAAACTATGCAAAATTACAAAATATTCATCATTAGTGAAAAATGCGTACCTGTGATATTTACAATAACTTTTTGACAAAATCCATAGCACAGAAATAAGACTGAATTTTCCATTATATTTGTAACTAAAGCTGGGGTAGTGCCTGCATATAATCCTTTTATTATACCATCCTGCAAGTAGGTGTTTCTACAGCAGTCCACCATATTAGTGTAAAGTAGTGGAGAAGTCTGCATTTTCACCTTTACCGTATCTAAAGGTTGTCCTACATATACTAACGCTATACCACCTGAAAATGAATAAAAAAAACATTGCAACGACTAAAAAATGTAGAAACATATAATATCACTACATTACAAAAGTGGTTCCTACCAAGCAAGCTTGCTGCTTAGTAAGTCAATACTTTAAGCAAAAAGGAAATGCTGCCGAAAATTGTCATTCGTTCATAAAAGATACATTATATATTTTTTGAATTGACAATACAAATTATAAATGTAAAATATTATAATATTTAAATTTTTTAAAAGCTGTAGTAGCAAAATGCAATCGAATTCATAAATAAATTTGTATTTCTTTATTGCCATAAGCTATGATACTAAGTAACCGTAATATTTTGTAAAAGTGTGTTTAGTGATATTTCAACATATTTATATGAAGCATTTATATATTTATTCCCATATTTATCCGTAAATTCAATTTATTAAATGTTCCCGAAAAAAATCAGCAATGGAGGCTGCATATTCAGAGTTGACACAAAAGCTGCAAACCCTTTAAGTCCCCCGGCTTGAACGCAATCTCTATTTAATAAAAAAACAAAGGACAATTAAAAAATATACGAGTCATCAAGTATTAAACTTAATACAGATGTATGTTTTAGGATTAGATAATCGGCCATTTCATTTCTAATAACCCAATAGGGATATCATTCACCATTCAGACAAGACAAGATGATATTTTAGGAAACACTAAAACATAATTAAAACTATAAAAAGTAAATTTCAAATCAGTCTCTTCAAACTTTACTGGGTCTTTTTAAACTACAGTTTTTAAACTATTTTCTGAAAAATAATGAATTGTACGCAGTAAAAGAAGGATGTATGCATGTGTAAAACAGCAGGGTAAAATAATTGTGCTGCTGAAACCCATAAAAGTTACAGTTTATATACATTTTTGAAATATTAATCGATTAAATTCGAAATATGTCGATTGTGATGATCGCGATGAAGCACTTGTTCCATCGGGAGATTTGAATTTTAGATAGAAACGCCAAGAAATTATAATTAAAGAATTGTAGATTTTCAACTTCTGAGTAATAGTGCTACTTTTTGGTCGAATTTTTTCCGTATTTGTTGTAGTGTGAGAGAAGGGGAACAATCCAATATCCATATACTTGCAATTTAATACCTCTGGAAAGGCTTCGATTATTTTTTTTGTTTTTGTTTTGCAACAATTAGATAATATTCTCATTTTTAAAAACAAATTAACTGCAGCAGTACTTTTTATTTGAAAGATCTTTGCACCCTATCGCGTTTATTAATGGTCCAGAACACCAGTTAGTTTTGAAGCGTATTTAAAGAGAAACAAAGACACAAATAATCACTTTAAAATGAAACAACAACAAATGTTCAGAAGCGTTGAAATTGGCGCTTTTTTTCATCAGGGAAAAGCTGGGAATGTATGGAAAAAAGATAGACATCGGGTCTTGCCTTCCATTGTACTTTGTGCACGCTTATGTGAATGGCAAGTCAAACCGTGATTTGATATTTTTTCTGCCACTATGATAACTTATTAATATACATTTAATTTAAATCTAATAAAATTAAAAATATAAAACTTTTTCTTTAAATCGAGATTTGATAGATATTGCTACACGGTATTCACTGAAATTTAAGTAATTCCAGATTCTAAGATAACCCTGCCTATCAAATAAAAATACCGTTTCATTTTTCTTACTACAAAAACTAAAAAAAAATGAAGAGAGTAAAGCTGATATTCATAAAAAGAAAATGCACTGCAATTCAATACATAAATAATTGTTATTTTTATACGCAAATGATTATACGAAACCGTAAGATTTTGTAAAATTTAATGCTGTTATTGCATATTTGTACGTAGTTTCAAAATAAAAAAAATAAAACACGATTGCAAAATATTGGAGAAATCAAGTATCAGACGTGATACAGATGTATGCTTTAAGATTAGTTAATCGAACATTTCATACTTAACGACATAATATTGCGATCATTCACCATTCTGTCAAGGCAAGGGGGTACTTGCAGCTTGTCGCAAATGATAAGTTGGAATAAAAATTTAATACTACAAACAGGTAACTTTAAACCCATCTCTTCAAAACTAGATGACTTTTCTTTAACGAAAATATTTCTATTACTTCCTTTAAAACACTATTTTTTAAACTAAACGTCAAACAGTACTTAAGAGAGATTTAAAACTTTTAAGGTTGCCTATTAATTGTGATATTAAAATTGCCATTCGCCCAATGAAGATACAGTTGTTTATACATTTATGTATTATACCATGAATCGTAACCAATTATGCTTGTATACGTATACAAAAATATGTTTAACAACAATTGCACTATTGCTCGATTGCAATGTGGCTCAAAAATCCTCACAAAATTAAAAATGACTAATAACTCGAAAAATGGAATGAAAGTGAAACAGTCTCTTGGGAGTAAAACAGCCTCTTAGTTTTAGCTTCTTCGTTTATATTAGAAGAGGAGGGGAATGCAATGCCCAATATGGTATAGTATATCCTGAATCGCTGCGATTATTTATTGCGCTCGAAAAAATTCAACCAAAGGAATGATGTTGAAATTAAATTCAAAGAAGTTACAAAATCGACAAATCTTTAAGCCTGCGGCCAATGTACGAGTTGGACGTATTTGGATTGGATTATGATAAAGAGGGTGCAGTTGAGCCTTAATTGACAAATCCGAGATATGAAGTATCAAACTAGATGCTTTCGGATTAAGTAATCGGACTTCATGCTTAATAAGCCAATGGGACAATCATTCATCATTATGTCAAGACAAAATATTATTGCATGCAATCGAACATTTCTTTATCGATCTAAAAATAAATTATTTCAAAAAGTAAATACATATTAATACCGTCTCCTAAAACATAACTGAGACTTACTGACAAGTATATTTTCCAACGTTCTCTTCAAAATGGTGCATGGCCCGAAATGAAACAGAAATATCCGGCTGCTTAAATTTAAACGTTGATCAATACTTAATACAGTTAATAAAACGGTGGCGTAATATTGTCAATTTAAAGAATCATCACGAATCATGACTTAATGATGCATCTCACTGGCAAAATTTGTAATCTGCAAATTACTTTTTAATACAGTTGGTTCAGTTGGTTAGAAATTCATGTCATGTAAACGGTTTGTGAAATGTTTAATTGAAAAATTTTAAATACATACATTTACATATATATTGGTATATTTTTCTACAAAATCTACCACTAAAACAAGGCTATAGCAGTAGAAGTGAAAACAAAAGAAACTGGGTTATAATCATAGACATTTCTGTAAATTTAAGCAGTAAATTAAGCTAATAGGTCTAATTATCGATAAGCATGCTAAGTAAATCAAAGTCTAATTACCTAAACATCCAGCGCTAAAGTCAATTACCCCATCCTTAACATGACTTCGGTCGGGGTGATTATTTGATTTAATATTCTCAATATTCGTATTATTATTGAGAGCCATTACGAGGATCGATCGTTTACGTCAATCTTTTAAACACTATCACCCAATTAACTAAAGACGCTACTTATTATCATCGAATGTCCGCTTGAAGATAAGACTAGTTTGGGAAATTGTTTAATAATTAAACAACAGCACTTTAGCTTCAGGCTTCAGTACAAAATTATACTATTGCCTGTTATTGTCAACGATTTTAAGGCAGGATTGTTGACTTTTAAGGTAACTGAAAACTAGAATTTAACAACAATACCTCCATACAATCAATACAAGTGTGCATACATTCACAAGATTCAATTATGGTAATTTTATATTGTAAACACGAGGGTTTGTTGTTTTTAAATGTATGGTGTATCTCAAGATTATCTGTCATCTGTCAATAAATGTCATTCAGCGACATTGTCTCATAATCACGAATAACTGTCCTTAAGATGAAGAATCCATAAATCGCTGAATATATAAAGGTCATTATTAAGAAGAGTATTTGTTAAATTTCTTTCTCGTAACATCCATTCAACATTAACACAAACCATCAAGGTCTAAGAAGTTGCAAACGAACTCACTTTAATTAATCACAGCTGAGAACGTATGAAATTGAGCCACTAGATGGCAGGGCACTTGCCGAATTCTGAAGTAACCGAAAAAAATAACCTACAATTTTTAGATAGATTAGCAAATACATTTAAATTCGGAAATATGGGCAAACTTTAGTAATTATTAATTAAAAAGTGCCATGCCAAGTTGCGCCGTTCCTGGCTGCAATAGCCATAACAAAATGAAACAGAAGACCAATATCAAATTTTATAGTTTTCCAAAAAACAAAAGTCTGCAAATCCAGTGGATTCAAGCTTGTAGTCGACAAGGCAAATTAAATGTACGATATGGTACGTACCTATAATATTCATATTTAGAAATGCATGAACATCTGCTTTCCCTCGGTGGCTTGTTTGGCATTTAATAAAGATCAAACCTTTTTATTTTAGCGGCTATATGCTCCAAACATTTTGAAAGCAAATACTTTTTCACTCCTCTGAAATACAGGCTGCTGAATGTGACTTTACCAAAGTCCTTTCGAAATTTAGAAGATAATGCAGTTCCAACTCTAGCTTTACCTAAATGTAATTCGGTAAAATCCGAAATAAGCACATCTTGTAATGCAACTGAAAGAATGCAAGATGATTTCAAAATACCACCAGGACATTTCGTGGAAATATCACCTTTAAATAGTATCAGCTACGGATCGATCAAGGTGGAAGATCAAGAAATGACTGAAGAAATAATCGAACCACTTGTCTCAGTGAAAACGTAAGTATAACACACAACTAATTTGCGAAGGAATGTAACAGCGATGAGGTGCTTATTTATAAATATTTCAATCAATCGCATAATTTCAATTTCAACATCACGGCAAAGTGAAATATCACAAGTTGTTCAAAACCGTGGAAAACCCCAAAGTCTACGGGGCCTTTTGTGTCACCGGCTGAGTGGCAACCAAAACAGATATAATGTTTTACTTAAAAAGGGATCCTGCTTTCCAGTCCAGACGTCGCACCTGAATTTAAACTACCTATAAACATCACGGCAAGGTTGAATTCGCTGTGTTATGAGTCGACAGTTTCTACTCATTTTGAGTCCTAGTAAATGAACCATCGAATGGAAATATTTGGAAAACAATATTAAAAAATAAAAATCGTATTTTTTAAATGTTTTTGAAATTTTTACTTATGACTTTTTCAGCAATGAGTTAAAGTGAATCACACTGAGTCATTAGTATTGCTGAAGGCTCAACCAACATAAAAATATTCCGATTATGCGTGTGCTCTTATTTTGAAAATAAATTGAAAACATTCTCAAAATCTAGAGGTTCCGTGGATTTCCCCATACATTCTACGGTTAACGTTCGAAATAATATTAATCTCAATAATACCGAGTTAATTTCAAGAACAACATGTTTCATTGGTTAATATTCGAATATTATGATAGTTAAATGGTATTCGCGCAAGAAGTATTTCTGATAGAAAGTTTCACAATATCTTTAAGAACATATTCAACATGGACAAGCAACAATAGCTGAACTCGACATTAATAGATAATATGAATAATCTAATTTTTTTCGACTTTAATGGTGGGTTTATACTTAGTTAATCTATGGTTTATACACGAGAATAAGGAAGGCTTAACGATTAAGGCGTATCTTAAAAGTTCGTTGTGCATCAGTCCATAGAGGTGTTTGTAAACCGAATAGTGCCTAACGCTTAAGGCCCATTTTCATCAGAAACAAGCGAAACGCAGTTTGACGAAACTAAGTTTATTTACCGCCGTATGCACCGCCACGCTACCTAATCGCGATCAACTAAACGAGTTTAAAAGTTAATCCGGTTTAAGAACCCAGCTGGTATGCACCGTTGAAATTCAGCGGCGGATTAGTTAAACCTTGTACGGATATGGCAACCGTGTTCTAGTGACTCGCGTTATCAACTTTCGCCCGGTGTTCCAATCAGAGATGCCAAGTGTACCGATTTTTCGGTAGATCTATCGATTTGTCAAGGAACCTACCGATACCATGCAGATTTCTACCGAAAAGTAACAAATAAAAGTTGAAAAAATTTACGTGGATTACTTAAAATAATATAACATATTTCCATTCATGATCAAAGTACGTTGGTAATAGCAGACATTTTATTTTAGCACACCTCGTATTTTAG